ATAGTCATAATCAAAATTATCATTTTTTTTTTACAAAAAGTAAAAATGTATATAAAAAAGCGTAATTATGTCACAAAAGTTGAAATTATATAAAAAAAGGAGAAATTATATGAGTGATATGAGATAGAAAGTGATAATTATGACAAAAAAGTCAAACTTATGATAAAAAATATAATTAAGATATAAGTCAAAATAATGACAAATATAGTCGCAAGTAAGGAAAAAAAAATCAATTTTGACAAAAAACTTTATCTCATAATTTCAATGTTTTTGTTTTGGTGTTTTGTTTTTTAAATTTGTTTATAGAAAAGACAGTGGATAAAACTGATGAAGGCAGTCATAAAATGACCTCAAAAAGTGAGATTAACCTCGGCTCCTTCAAACCCAAGCTTGTTCCAGGTAGGAATAATAAATAACTACACCGTTTTTTTACACTCTAATATGTATCCGTTGACTGTAAATATGTACGTACCCTCTGAAGGGCAGAGCCCGTGTGCCAGTCGGCCCTGTTACCCTGGAGTCCAGTGCTTTGAGAGCACATACACGTCTGCTGGTTACATATGTGGTCCGTGTCCCTCTGGGCTCAACGGCAATGGACAGACATGCACGTCAAGGACAGCAAACAGTCAGTTGCTTTTCTTTATACAAACATTATCATTACAAGAAGCATTATTACAAAGAAGCCAGAATAAATAGCTTTTGTGTTTTTTTAGATTCTTCTTTGGGCTCGACCTTCTAACCCTTACTATTTTGCAGGACAGATACTATTGAGGGAGGGTGAGAAACTCTCTGATGTCACTTCTTCCACTAGGAAGTCAGCTGAACCTTCAATTGGAGCTGAAAGATCCAAGTGGACCTCCTCTGTTGATAGGAAGACCACCACACGCACCCTAGACGGGACCAACACGAAAGCAAAAGGCAGTTCAACCAGAGAGCAGCTGAATGAAGAAGAATTTAACCCTGAACGCGCTGAGGACAACCGAACTTGTGCGGACTCCCCCTGTTTTTCTGGAGTACCGTGTGAAGCCACATCCTCTGGCTCCTTCAGATGTGGAAGCTGTCCACACGGCTATAGAGGAAACGGAATTACCTGCAAACGTGAGCAGTTTATCCTGATAAATGAAGCATAGCAAAATAAAACATTGCTCATTATAGTGCTTGATGCTTGTGAAAAAAGCAAGACATTTCTGGGTCATATTTCACACCAAAATAATAACAATAATAAAGTGTAAAAGAAAAAAAAAGGTAAATTAAATCCAGTACAACAGAGGATGCATGCTTACAAGTCAGTCAGTCAAACAAATCTATCTATCTATCTATCTATCTATCTATCTATCTATCTATCTATCTATCTATCTATCTATCTATCTATCTATCTATCTATCTATCTATCTATCTATCTATCTATCTATCTATCTATCTATCTATCGTCTGTATGTCTGTCTAGCCGAGACATTTATTTGTGAGGTTTACATTCAAATATTTTTAGAATGATTATCGAACTGATTGTTTTAACATGATTTAAGCATTGCCTGTGTGTGTGTGTACAGCTTTGTGTCGTCACCCCTGTGGTCAGAATATGGAGTGCTCACAGCCCAACACTTGTACCTGTAAAGAGGGTTACACTGGATACAACTGCCACATTGGTCAGTCACAGCCTACAATATTCTTTTAGCTTGAAAGACATTTTTTTATTATTAAAATTACTCATTTTAATTCTGATACGTCTATGATTATCACTTGATATATCTTGTCCTGTCAGCTATTTGCCGACCAGACTGCAAGAACAAAGGGAAGTGCGTGAAGCCCAATGTGTGTGAATGTCCTGCAGGGTACAGCGGCCCCACCTGTGGGGAAGGTAAACTCTGTCTTTAGTGTCTTACTCCATTCTTTACAAATTCATTCTAAAAGTCCCTTTTTGCTATATGACTGCAAATAATATGAGGGTTTCATGCATTATGTAATTTTTAAAAATATATTTACATATATTGTGTGCACTTTATGCAAGGTTTTTTCATTTTTATGTAACTTTATGCAAAAATATAATGTACATGTTTTTATCTTGCCTCTCAGCCAGCTGTGATCCGCCTTGTCAACATGGTGGCCGATGTTTGTCCAGAAATTACTGCACTTGTCCATATGGCTACGTGGGACCAAGATGTGAAACTAGTGAGCAGACATTTCCGAATGATTTCTAAATATGAAGAAATTTGTTTATAATGATTGTGAGTCATTGCCTTTTTTTTCAGTGGTGTGTAACAGACATTGTGAAAATGGTGGAGAGTGTGTGTCGCCTGATGTCTGTAAGTGTAAACCTGGCTGGTACGGACCAACGTGTAATTCAGGTGCGCTGTTTCATCCTTAAAGTCAGCATGAAACAGAAGTTGTTATAGTCTTTTCTTCCCTATTGTGACACACATCCAAGTGAATGGCTTCTTGAACAAGAAACAATGTAGGGCGGGACTTGATTGTCCATTGGTTATTAATTGGATTTGTGGTTTGCTATTGGTCGATCTCATGTGAGTGACAGGTTCTCCTACCCTCGCGACAGTAAACATCATCAGAGAAGAGAAGAGTTGTCATTGCAAGAGGGAGGGAAAGTTATTTTGTTTGAAGATTACGAGGACACGTGAATTTAAAATATATATATATAATGATGTCCACAGATAAATAATTTATAATAATATTGCAATACTCCATAAAAAAATAAGAATTGTCCATTTTGATTTCATGGTGACTTTAAATATTGATCATAAATTTATTTAATAAATAATAAAATATAATTATAATAAATTTCCTAACTGTTTTCATTCTCAGCCGACTGTAAACCTGTGTGTTTAAATGGAGGGACTTGTATTAAACCAAACATCTGTGCTTGTCCCAGTGGCTTCTATGGTTCACAGTGCCAGATAGGTACAACCGTTTCATAGCGAATGCTTATTTCATGTAATCAATTCTGCACAATTAATAAATGGCCTGAGTTATTGATAATTAATTAAGCTGTGTGTCGTTCTTTGTAGCTCTGTGCAATCCTCCATGTAAAAACAGAGGCCAGTGCATGAGAAACAACGTGTGCTCCTGTCCTGAAGGATACTCTGGGAAGAGATGCCAGAAAAGTGAGTGTTCGTTGGTGTCATTTTCTCCAGAATCTAGATCGTTTCATTTCTGTTGTTGTGATTTGTTTCTATATCCAGTATGCGTTCTAGCATATTATATGTTTGGACTATATGCTCTGTGTTTAGGTGTGTGTGACCCCATGTGCATGAACAACGGAAAGTGTGTCGGTCCAAACACCTGTTCCTGTCCATCTGGATGGAGAGGAGGGATTTGCAACATCCGTAAGAGATTTGCAACATCCTTGGTCACCAAGGCTGCATTTATTTGATCAAAATACAGTAAAAACAACAGTAATGTTGTGAAATATTTTAATATATTCAAATGAAAAGTATTCATCGATGGCAAAGGTAAATTTTCAGCATTATTACTCCAGTCTTCAGTCACGTGATCCTTCATAAATCATTGTAATATGATGATTTGATGCATTGATTACATTTATTATTATCAGTGTTCAAAACTGCTTAATAGTTTGTGGAACTTTTTCAAGATTATTTGATGGATGAAAGATCAAAAGAACAGCATTTATTTGAAATAGAAATCTTTTGTAACATTATAAATGTCTTTGCTGTCACTTTTAATCAGTTTAATGCATCCTTGCTGAATGAAAGTATCAATTTCTTTTAAAAAAAAATCTTACTGTCCCCAAACTTTTGAACAAACTTTATATATTGTATTGAAATATCAAATACATGCAACATAACATATAGTCTTGTCTGTATGTGTAGCGGCATGTTTACAGAAATGTAAAAATGGTGGTGAGTGTGTGGGGCTGAACACCTGCCACTGTCCAGCTGGATGGGAGGGTCTGCAGTGCCAAACACGTAAGTCCTGATTAATCCTAAATGCTCCTAAAGGGCTCCTATTATGCTTTTTTACATTTTTAGTGTGTAATGTTGCTGTGTGAGCATGAAAATGGTCTGCAAAGTCCAGGCATACGCTAAATAAAAGGGGTGAAGCCTGGTTGAATTGTGTTAATAGTGTGTTGAAACGCGAAGTTATGCGACATTTCCAAAACACGCTTGAAGCGGTTGACCAATCACAACTCACTGGTCCATTCAGAGCAGCCAATCAGAGCACATTGAGCTTTTCAGAAATAGGGGCTTTTCTTAACAGAGCTTTACTGACAGACTGTGAAGAGAGGTGCTGCAACCTAGTAAAATATGTGAAAAATAATGTTCAGGCGTAAACATTCAGGCATGAAAACATGTATATATAGTAATTAAAATATATATATATTTCTTTTTATTTTAATTTTGTTTATTTAATTTCTTCCCTAACAGCGATCTGTAAACAAACGTGCCTCAATGGGGGGAGATGCGTTTTCCCACATTTCTGCCACTGTCGACAAGGTTACATTGGACCTTCCTGTGCTACTAAAGTAAGCATTTCACAAACATATTACCATCATTGATTTCCTCTTTAAAATGATCTTTGTAAAAACATGTTTGACGTCATTTATGGCCAAAAGATTAACTGATTGCAAACTTTGTATTCACAGACTAGGTGATGAAGATGTGACATTGACGACAACTTTCAATCGCTCTGTAAAAAATAATTGGTGTGTGTGAGTGTGTTGGTGTTTGTAAGCATCAGTGCCTTAAAAGTGAGGTAAACTTATATATATATATAAAAAAAAAATTATTAGACTTTTATTGTCTGATTACTATAGTATTTCAGGAGTGTTATATGTTTGTGTGGATGTTGTTTTACATCTCTTACACAGCTCTGACAATGACTATTTTAATTAGATTTTTGCAATGTGTGTACATTTTATAGTGTTGATTGATTAACTATTTTCCTGTTATGTTTTTTTAACTAAATTCCTTTTAAAGAAAAAAACTGTACATTTGAAATCATACAAATACATCTTAGTGTCACTTCTCAATAAAAACAAGTCGTCAACAACAAAACCGGGAATGAATCATACTTCTGATCTTTAAAACCTTAAAACAAGTTGCACACACACAATTTAGATTTTAACTTTATTTAATAAGTTGCACTGTACGCTAAAGGAAATTCAACAGTTATCGTAAACACACTACTTAATACAAAAGTCTCAATGTCATTAATGTACAATGTTAACGTAATGAAAACATCACACTTCACATATGTTCAGTTTGGCTTCAACAAACAAACAAGTAACTTTAGCACCAATTTGAGGGAGCGATGGGGTCGGACGTCAGACTGACTTCAGTAGAGCTTCTTCCTCTCTTCACACTGCGGGCCTGAGAACGGAGCTCGACAGCGACAGGTGTTCGGAGACACACACTTCCCCCCGTTCATACACCGCTTTTTACACACAGCTGCAGACAGACGGAGGAGATATCACTGGCTTAATTTTGTCAATTTTGAGTAAACTTATGGATTTACACACATACAACAGCATATAGCAACTGCACGACAAAAGCCTAATTCTAGAGCAGTTGAAGAGAGTCTTGCATATACATATAAGAGTTTGTAGCTCTTTGTGTCGTCACCCACCTGTGTGGCAGGCTCCGCCTATCCATCCGTCTGGACAGCTGCAGATTCCAGGAGCCACACAGCTGCCCCCATTCCTGCATCCCTGCGGACAGATCGCTACGGAAACAGATCAATTATCAACATGTGTCCCAGATACTGCACTCACATCTAGGCACAACAACCCAAGAGAATGCACATGTAAATGATGATTAATTCACGAAAAATAACTTTAAACAAAACACACATATGGGTTTACGAGTGTATTTAATGTGGCTTAGCCTTAGACAGATCATTTAAATAACATTAAAATTAACTGGTTGCTGGTTGCTATTAACTGGAAAATATATATCAGTTAGAATAAAACAGTGATATTTTATTATTATTTATATACTTTTATAATATTTTTTAATAGTTTTGAATTACCTTTTATTTTTTAGTCTTAGTAATGTTGTTGTATGCTTTTGTCTTTTTGATTTTTTAAATATTTCTATTCAGCTAGGCTATCATTTATTTTTATTTCAGTTTTAGTTGTAGCTATTTTTAGTTCCCAAGACAACATTTAAAAATTTTGTTACATTAAGAATTTGTTACGTTTAAGTTTTCCATTTGAAATAAATTAAAATATAAAGATTTTGATTGACAAAAACAGTTTTTAATAGTTTGACATTTACTTAACAATAGATCAGGGTGGCGCCATATTTATTTTTGACTGGACTGTGAAAACGTGTGAGGGATAGAATTGCAATCCGTTTAATGGTTAGTATGGTTGTTTAACGACATAGGCCCTACCGATTGTTCAGCTGACGAAACATCTTTCCAGAAAAAAAAAACTTTCAGTAGACTCCATAAAACAGTTTAAAAGTTGCGTCATCCAGAACCTTGATACAGTGCTGCAGTCGTGGCATCAGAACCCCGAAGATTAACTCGCCAGTGATTCCCTCGAGATTTTCCTTTGGGTTTTTATAATAGGGTTTTGTGTAAAATAAGGTCTGTGTTATGTATTGTTATGTAAGTTATGTATTGTAAACATAACTTTACAATACAGCGTAAATCACACTCACCCATAGGCCTACTAAAAACGCAAATTTTGAAGCTGTTATGTTTAGATAAGAACGTTTGGGGTAATTTACATTGTAGAGCAAAACATTCAAGTATCGTTAAGTTATGTTTACCGCAGACTTTATTTTACTTATAAACTGAAAAAACCCATTTATAAAGGAAAATCCATAGGAAAATCTGGAGGGAACCACTGGCAAAGTAGTCTTTCGGGTTGCAGCACTCCGTAAAGACTTCAAGGCTTCATCCGAAATCGCTTACTATAAAGAAGGCAAAAAACCAGTATGTAACATAAGTATCTCCGAATTCACAGTACTCATAAAAGAGCAGGCAAAAAGTACCCTGATGACCTAGGCTAGCTACTACTTCCGGCGAGATTCTGCAGTGTGCATAATGAGCGCTTTACTGTCCAATGAGGCCATGAGAGAGGATTTATGAATGGAAGTGAAGTGATGTAACTGACACTGGTAAGTCACATGATAATAACAACATGGCGAATGTAGTATGTCCAGATTACATTCAAACTACACACATTCATAGAACATACCTTTTATAGCAATCGCAAAGTAATTCCTTATTCGAAATAATTACCTACTCTAGAGTGTGATTTCGGACACAGCCTAAGTCTATCCCTCACAGCCTCGTTGTCATCTGTGTAAAACTCAGTATGGCATCTAATCTTACTATAACTACAAGCAGACCAAGCAGAATTGCCAGCGCTAATTGCTTTGGCAATTGGTGGAACTAACGCAAAATCTTTAATTTCATTGATTATAGCGCTCAAATGTCCCCACCTTCGTTTTGATTCACCAAATGATTTCAGCCGAATGCAGGCAATGAGATTAATATTTATGAGCCCATCAGCCTACCAGGTCCCTATACAGCAACATAGTGTCGGCCCAGATCCGGCCCACATCTTGAATGCGTGGAATCTACATATACCAGATGTGGGCCGGATCTGGGCCGACAGTATGTTGCTGTCTGGGGTATTAGCACGAGGGAAAAGCATTGTAGTTGACAATATGTAATCTAGCGGAGACAAGACGCGAGTGACTAAAATAATTAGTGTTTGACAATTGTAAGTTAATGCTGTTAAACAGATGAAAACATTTGACATTTTGTTAACATTTAGCGAGTTTTTAATCTTGGTGTGTTTCACATTTTTCAATGTAAGAACCAACTGATATTTATGATAATTCTTCTGTTTATGAAAATTTGCCACATCATATATATTAAAGTTATATACATATATAATGTTATTAATATGTTAATATAATATATGGGATCAACAAACCGTCTTGGCATCTGGAGCCGGTCCAGCTGGAGGGACAGATGCATTTTGCTTCTCCATTCACAGCAATACATTCACCACCGTTCCAGCAGCCACTTTCACACACCACTGACAAATACACACACACACACACCGACTGTGAATTTTCTGTGCTGTTGGACTGAAAAGTTCTTTTTCATTTTTGACTTTGTTCATTTTTTAGCATTCAACTTGCAAACAACAGCTAAATCACAGTTACCTTTGTGACAGTATTTTCCTCCAAATCCTGAAGGGCATCTGCATTTTCCAGGTCGAAGGCACACTCCACCATTTTTACACTTTGGATAACAGTTTGCTGAAATCGACATGCAAATCATGTGAGTAGAGGCCCCTTAAATATATAAAGCACAAGTTTGACACTCACACAAACACATTCCACTAAAATCCACTTCATAGCAAGTAACTTGAAACATCACCATATTGGCAGGTTTCTCCCTCGTATCCTCTTGAGCAGAAGCAGGTGTTGTTTCGGATGCAAATCCCGGCATGTTTGCAAGTAGGGTCGCACGTTGCTTTGGGGTCAAAGACAAAAGGAAGAGCCACCCCACGGGGCCCGTCGGACCCTCCCAGACAGATGCCAGCCAGAGAGGCAAGTGCCACCAGCAAGAGCTGCGTGGACATACAGCAAAGCACTGCCATTTTCATATCCACACTCTTACAAGGAACCAGAAAGACTGAGAGTGCTGGTGAACGTCTGTTCGAACAGAATACTACACTGTAAATCACCTACAGGACAGACATGGTACAGCAGGGAGCCACAGCTGGAAAAGTACTAACTGAGGAATGTGTGAGTCAGGATTGAGAGACAGACTAGCTCAGAGTGTGTGTTTGGAGGAGTGTATGTGGTTGTCTGTGGTTTATAGCAGTCCTTTGTAATGTTTGTACCTGAAAGTCCATCAACAAGTGGTCCCGAAAGGTAATTTGAGACCAAGCGGCACATATTTCAAAGAAAGATAGTGTAATAATCACACTCTTCAAGTGACATATTTCACAAAAACATATTGTTTTAATTTTAAAATGGTAGATATATTGAACAGTTATTGGTAAATGTTCATAGTTAATGTGATGGAACTTCGTACATCCATTAAAATAACACTGACATCAATTGGTTAGGAATTATTTTAAATTAAACAGTAAAGTCTAGCAGCATGTGTTTGCATATATGCCACTGATCAATAGTTATATAGCCTAATTACATTATACCAAAAGGGTCAGTCAGATTTTTTTTATGTTTTCCAAAGAAGTCTATTATGATCACCACAAATTAATTGATTTGTTATTACAGTAAAAACAGTAGCATTATGAAATATTATTACAATTCAAAATAACTGTTTTCTATTTTAATATGTAATTTATTTCTGTGACGGTAAAGCTGTATTTTCAGCATCAATCAGTCTTCAGTGTCACATGATCCTTCAGAAATCATTCTAATATGATGATTTGATGCTCAAAAAAGACATTTTATTATTATCAATGTTAAAACAGTTGTGCTGCTTAAATTAAAAGGAACAAAATATAAATGTATACTTTTTAAAATATAAATCAATTGATGTGTCCTTGCTGAATAAAATTAATTTCTTTCAAAAACAAAAACCCAAACTTTTGAATGGGAACGTATGTATAAAATAGACTACACTATTTAAGTGTGCCCAGATATGTTTTGGGGCCAGTACAATAAAAAATCTCTCTGAAAGACTTAAGAAGAAAACGACAACACATTACAATTGAATCTGTTGCAGTAGAGCAGAATTTCTAAGAGCTCTTGTGAGTATCTGCAGTCTTTTATGAAGTCCAAACTGTGTCTTGTTTATGCCTATGTTATTGTCGTTTAAAGGATTTTTGTCTCATATATTCACTTCTTTGATCCCAGGAAATGTGAGGAAATGGATTCTGCAGATGTCTTGAGAATGTCCCTCCTCCTCAATGAAATTTCAACTGAGATTTCAGACCACGGCTAACGTGTTTCCCTATCTGAATGACATGCACGTATGAACTAAAATGGGTAGATAGGTAATAGGTAGATTTTTGCTCAGTGGTTTTTTGTAGTTTTTATGTGACATTGTGAAATGCTTTGTTGGCAAGCCTGACTCCAGCATGTGATAGATGTCAAACTTATAGTTATTGTTCTGTAAGCGAAGGAGTTATATTGTAAGTCTATTTCAATCTGTCTGAAATCGGTGGTTCATTCATGGTAAAGGCATGCAGAAACATTACATGGTCTTTGTTTCAGAGGCCCATTAAAGTGGGACCAGAGGGATCTGCTGTTCTGAGACATGAGAGGAAGTGAGCAGGAACTTTAATGACATCAACAGATGTGCAGAATCCTTCTTTCTTCAGAAGAAAGTGTAAACACGGGCGGCATATATTACTACGCACAGCACATTGAAAACACGAATGCATACGGCCATTTGCGCCAGAACATATCAGCTTTATGGCAAGACACCGTCCCAAATATTAGGCTAGTGGTGGTCATTAATATTACTTCTTCCATGCCAGTTATTTATCACGCCCAAATGTAGTGGTTACCAAACTAAAAGCTATTTTATCTAAACATGATAAACCATTATTTTACCCCCCAAAACATCTGATGGTGTTTTACCTCACTCGCGTCTACAGCATCTTGTAAGCGCCATCTTGTGGAGTATTGTGACAGTCACAGGTCACACCACTTTTCTCCACAAAATTAATTTTATTAATGGGTTTTGACTAAAAGCATAAGAGACCCAGTTTAATAAAAAAACAGTTATTTATTAAGGTGTTATTTCAGGCTACCCCAGTCCGTACTTATTTAATTCACCATAACATGAACACTATAGAAAAAAACATTATATTATAACATTTTACTTGGGAGAGTGCTGAAATGCCCACAAAATATTTTAAGACAAAATATAAATGGACACGAATTTCATCAAAGAAATTCTATTTACTGATAAATCCATCCAATAAATATCATTCAAATATATTGATGTAAAAGTGCCATTCCAACAAAACACAATTAGCAAAAAGGTTAAAGTGAATGTGAAACATCTACATTATCAATCATCTAAACACCAACACCAAGAAAAAAAATGATGGTTGAATTTAGTCAAATGTGACAACAAAAATGCATCAATTAACAGAAGTCCATTTCTTAATACAGAATCAATTACCTTCCTTCCTTTTTTCTATTCCCTTTTTTCTTAACTAATATATTCCACAGCTTCCTGCTGAGTTAAATTTATATTATATTTTATTGACGCCTGATTCATGGTCAGTGTTGTAATAGCCTCAGAATAGCCCACTTCATTTTTTTTTCAATTTTCTTAATTTCAAAAGTAGTTTAGACATTCGTTCTAAACATTCCCTTTGAACATAAATTCTGGAAATAAAATAAAAAAGTAGTAAGAGGTTGAAAAATCCACAGTATGGAGTTATATAAAATACCCATAAACTGAAGTCGGAGTGTGGTTTTAGGGAAGTAACATCCCATCAAAAAGGAAAGCATCTGTTAATGGTTTTGTTGATATATGTTAATAACACCCTGAAAAAAAAAAAAATTACAGAATACCTGCTTAACAAAGAGCTAAATAACAGAATGATACGAGCATGACTCAATGTTTAAAATGTTTAAAAAGACTAAATAAACACACCAAAAGAATAATGGAGTAAAGTCGAAGTGGTTTACGTGTTTGCAGATCTATGTAGAATATTCTGCTGGTCATTCCTTTTCCCAAAATATACTAAAGTGCTTCTGTCTATCCAAGCAAAACCTCCAGAGCAATGCTAAAGAATCAGTAATGATGTGGTAGAAAGGATATCAGCTCTCTGACTAGAACTCGCTGATCAATCCTGATGTTGCCACCCTACAGTATACAGGCTTCATTTTCAGACATTCGTAACACTCAGGACAAGCCATTTTTTTTCACCACATGAGAACATTAAGAATTGTGGGTCATACGTAGGGGCGTCACTGTATCACACTCATGCGTCCGCGTGAAGAGGTGGTGTTTGAGCCGCAGTCCACGTACAGGAACTTTTCCTGAGACACCTGCTCAGCATGCCCAAAGTACACAGTGGTTACAGTCGTTCTGGAGAGACATTTTCTTTGTTAGTTGAAGTGAAGAACATAGGCATTAAGGAATTATATTTTGCTCTTACTGTTTAAAATTATTATATTATCTAATAAAGATCTACCATTCTTTACTAAACTTGGAAATTAAAATAAACACAAAAATACTAAATACAACTACAAAAAACTCAATACAGTAACATTTTACTAAATATGTATCTATTAAGCACACCGATTCACTAAAATAATACTTACTGCATCATGACAACAATGTTATGCACTTTAATTGACTGCATGGTACAGTAGTCACTGTAAAAACAGATACGCAATCACCACAATACGCATTTTAGAACACAGTAAGATAAAATGTCTTTATGAAAGTTTTATTGATGTAAGGCGAGACTGGCAAATACTTACAATATGTAGTTCATCTCATTGGCTATGATAGTGGGAACAGTGTAATCAACCTAAAAATGAGACAATGACATTGATAGCAGGTGTTATAAGTAATTACAGTACACACATGGAGAGAAACTAAGATTGCAAAGTCATGTGACTAAATGAATCCGCTTTATTGGCAGGATACAGGTAATTTTCTTTCTATTATCTTAATGTTTGGCTTTACTCCCATGTAATTTTCCTCACTATGAATACATATTTAGGCTGTATAATCAAATTTAATCAAATAAATGCAGCCTGTGTGAGCATTAAAAAATCGTATCGATCCCAAACATTTGAACAGCAGTTTATGTGTGTTAATATATGAAAAATATTTATTATTTAAATATGAATTATTAGTCAAGTAATGTTTGCTGAAGTATAACAATTTTATATTAATAAATGGTTAAATAATTAATATATTTTCATATATCAACATACACACAAACACACATACACAATATAACAAACCTAAAAAGGTTGTTTTATACCACTGATCTAAATAAATTAGCACGCACCTGTCGCATATCCAGGGGGATGATGGTGGTGACATTACTGACGACAGACTTTCCAATGACAGTCTTGTAGAATTGCACCTGGGCTGTGATGTTGGCGACGTGTATTGGGAAGTAATTATTGTTCGTGATGTTAAGGGTATTCTGAGAAAAACAAAATACTGTTATTTAAAATTACACATGACAACAAAAATTCGAAAATACCCTGGCAAAAGTCCAGATCAATCTCATTATCAAGTCCAATCCCTCCATTACAGAAAGAATAGAATCATAAATTAAACAGGTAATATTTGGTTAACAATCCTGAAATACAAATTAAAAAGGGCGTGCTATAGATATTACCGTGATATTTAGGTATATTATCCGCTGGTCTCGGTCATAAGTGACATAGGCTGACTTCACCCCAACATAAGAGACGTCAATAGTCCGAGGGAACAGGAAGAACACAGCCAGACCAGAAAGCAGCAGACACAGAAAGACGGATACAAACACGTACAATGTCCTGGAACAGTGCAAGAACACACAGTCGGTCATTATTTATATTATACACATACACAATGTTGGGTTTAGGGTCCAATTCTCACTATTAACTAGGTGCTTATTAACATGCAAATTACTAGGATATTGGCTGTTTATTTGTGCTTATAAAACACATATTAATGCCTTATTCTTCATGACCATATTCTAAATCCCTTAATCCTACCCAATACCTAAACCGAACAACTACCTAACTAACTATTAATAAGCAGTAATTAGGAATTTATTGAGGCAAAAGTCGTAGGTAATAGTTAGTCAATAGTGAGAATTGGACCCTAAACTGTGACCCCAATGTTTATGTGAAATAGATATTTAAACAAACTTACGTTCGTCTTGGCTTCAGCCTCTGGTCGCTGTATGGTATCAAAGCAACTAGCTGGTTTTCTTGGTCTGTGAGAATATCCAGGATAGGAAGAACAAATGATTACAATAATGATTTATACAATTTATTGATCCCTCTTCGTTAGAGAACAGTTTAATAATGTTAAACATTTAGATTTGGATATTACATTTTTGGGATACAAAGTACTGTGTAGAAGGATGGATGGATGGATGGATGGATGGATGGATGAAAAGGTGGATGACAGACGGATCTGTTCTTACCTCTTGGTATTCTCCCTGTCCCTTGACAAGTAGGACAGGTAACACTGTCTCTGCCTGTGAATTCAACATATGGAAACTGTGACACATCGTCTTTATCGTCCTCGGTGTGCGACTTTGAGTCTTCAGTCAGGTTCTCCTGGTCCTCTTTTTGCTTTGGCAAGGAAAATAGAGACTTCCCCATGGTTGGGCTTGCCTTAAAAAAAGAGAAAAGAAATCATCTGTGATATTTACTGCATTACAATGCAAGTCATGAACGATCATGCAAGTATAGATCTTCATGTTTTGGTGAATTTATGCACCTATTTTCCACTTGACTTAAAGTATGCAGCTCCAGGCTGTTTTATAACGAAATTCGATAGGCCTATAAGATATACATTATGTTAATATCTCATCATGCAATCAAAATATTCTGGCTTTCCTCAACTAAACAATATATTTTCAGTTCCTGACAAACATCTGATACACATGCTTAATGTGTGATGATATGCAAATGATAACACACAGCTGATATGAGAACACAATGTACTCTACGGCCGACGTTGTCGTGTTCTTGATACTGATGCTGTGTAACAATAACATGCATTAACTGAAACAAAATAATGCAATAAGTGCGATGCACGCACGCGACGAACATGGATGGTTTACTTTAGATTATGTAATAGCAAATGGGCCTAAAACTGATCAAGCACCATACGAAATAACTCCTATTTCAAGGTACGATATGAAACTATAGTGGATAGGATATGAATTAAGGTTTACCTTTTTTGAAGGGTCCTGCCTTCTGTTTCTATAAAATTACAGTTGCTACAATGCCTCTCTGTCCCGACTGTGTTGTTCTTTTCCCCTGTTTCAACAAGCCACGCCTCTTGGTTTAATCAGTGACATGACGCTGCATTGTAGAAGTCGCGTGATTGGACGATAGTTACGTACGACACTGTTACAAGCCAATCATATTATATAAGGCGGGATTTGTCGGACTGACACTCTCTAAGCCACGCCTCTCTGTTGATAGTTGCACTGCAGATTTCAAGGCCGAGTGTAGGCTACTGTGTGTACATGTGCAATGTTTTGCTTTGGGTCTCTCATTTCCTTTATTTAATCTAAAAAACACAGTTTAATCCAGATCGGCTCTTGAATCCTATGCATAATATAGAAGTAAAAATTAAAGTATTGCAAATTGAATTTTAAAGTAAATTAATAATAAACAAAATAAACATATCACTTGCCCATTGCACGAATGAAGGCGTGTGTATTTTTCTTTTTAATTTAATTTTCTCGTACAAGTATAATGATTGACAGAGTAATGGGAGAGTCCAGGAATGGAAGAATGGTTGGGCAAGAACCATGCGATGCATCCGTTTTTATTACTTTGGTGAGTTGTTTGTGCAATCAGAATAAGGAAAAAAAATGTCCAACCACTAAGTAGGCCTGTGGTTAACACTTCTCAAAATGCTTTCTGATGTTTCAAGCTCAGCAAAGATATCATCAGACAACCTAATGAACAAAATAGTGACATGAAACTGAAACAAATAATGAAGTAGACATTTTGGACTAAATATAATATTTATAATATTATGTAATTTACAAATATATAGTAGTATATATAATATGTAACTGCCTTTCAATAATAAACCAACACTGAGAAATAATCACTTTAGTAAAAGTGTCACAACTAGCAGCAGTGTTGCCCATTGATGTGCTGTTCCCTCTAGACCTTAGACCCCCCCCCCCCCCCCCCCCCCCCCCCCCATAATAGATATAAGGGTTAGAAACAAATCAATATTTTTTATGGGAATTGGTTTGAAAAAAGAATAATTTGGGTTAAACAGTTGATCAAATGGTGTTTTCTAAAATTATACTGAATTTGTTCATATTTATAACTTTTCAGTTAATCCTATCCAATATTTTCTGGTTTTACATGCAATTCCCAAGGACATTTTGAGACTAATAGGATGTAATAATAATTATTATTCTTTACAAACAGTTGAAGAATTTACTTATTAAATTGCAGGGCAAGGGTTTCACAAGTTGATGTAATAATATTTTCTTGCGTTCCCTTCTCCAATCCTAAATACTTGCTGTTACTCACTGGAATTCTCTATTTAAAAAAACGTCTTGATTGGAGTAAAATTTGGATGACACCCATGACACCTCATAAGCATTGCATCACAAATAAAGTGAAAGAGGTTTCATATAAAAATTTCCATCGAGTTTACCCAGTTAAGTCAGTTAAGTCGGGTTAAAGTGAACATGGGGATGTTTGTGTTTTTTGTAAAGTGTCCCAAGTCCCAAATTGTTTTGGAAAGAACTCAATAATTACTTAAAAAAAAAAAAGCTATGATTCTTGTTAACTTTGAAAAAGTTGATTTTATGCTAAAATGTTTTTCATTTGATGGTGACATTTTTGTTTTGTTTATTTGATCTCATTATTATAATTGCCCGTTAATAGGCCTATTCATGAAGTCAAATGGAATGAAAAAATGTGAAATTTTGAACAATTTAAAACTGATGTTAAATATAGCCTATTTAGAAACAATATCCAAAAGTAAAAACTACAAAGCAATGAGAACTATGTGGTATGCTACACGTTTTTTTCTGTAAAATATCTTTCTTTTTCTTTTTTCTTCCACTCCTGACATGTATGCCTATATACATGCTACTCTAGGCTATGTAAATTATATTTTAATTAATTAAAAAACAAACAAACAAACAAACAAACAAACAAACAAAACGTGTCGTGTGATCAGGAAACCGCAGAGGATCAACGTTTATCCTAGAAACATAACGAATTATTTATTCTGTGTTTTACCAACACGTTCAAAATAACGTTAGTTACCAGTGAATGTTTAATTAGATTTGAGAATCTTGTTGAAAAATATATGCGAAGTATGAAAATAGTTCGAGCCCGTTCGAGGTTAACCAAAATCTTCCGGGCGATCATTAACTCGGCCTTCATAGATTGCCAGTGGACTAAACCATTTCTCTCATCAAAGGTGGATTACAGGGCGTTGTATTATTAAACGTTTTGGGTTATTCTCGTCAAACTGGATCTGCAGTCACGAAATACTGTTCTTCAATATTATGTCCGATTGTTTAAGAAGCAAAAGAAATGTATAAGAGTCCTTATTTTTAAACAGGCAAACTATTGTTCTTTTTTGGGCACCTATGACTGTACGCGTATTGTGTTTGCAGTGGCCCGCCGATCTCACCTGAGTTTCGGGTTACACTTTCATACCTCGCTGCACGAGGAAATGGAGGACGCACCTGTCTGAGACAAATACTGCTGCATTAACGACACATAGGCCTACTCGGACTTTCTTTACCTACTTTTGGGGAATTTAATGTTGGGTGTGTTTTAAAAGATCTTGAGATAATATGTGGCAGGGTATAATCTTTACCCTCTTCTTGTTCACAGGTAAGTGCGTTATTTCTTCTTCACCAAAGCTGTGACAGTTTATGGTTTAGCTGCTACTGTTTTCACTTTTTTGTAGATTTGTATTGGAAAATATCAATAGATTATCAGATTTGAGTTTACAGCACTAGATCTCATGACGGGCATATGGACCTATTCGTAGTTACTTGTTTTGTCTTATAATTAACTAAAATAAGTGGCCAAATGCTATGATAATCATTGCATATTTATCCTTCCCAATTTTTAATCAGATAATTACTATCTTACTAATGGAAATCGATTTATCAGATATTAGTACAAATGTACATCCATTTTGAAAAAGACCAGGTAACTTAGTTATTGTGCAACGGTTTCACTTCGTCTTTTTTGTATTTTCTTAAGTGTTTGTTGTTTAGGGAATGAGTAATGTAGATTGTGTGGGAGGAGGTGGTCATGTCCCCTTCACACTGAAATAGTTTCGTTCAGACACATGAGTCACATCCTCTGATAATCTTTCTAAAACCATATTTAACCCAGAGCCTGATGTCACAATGTGATGTCACCTATGTGAAAAGTTTGTTTACCCTTTTTTAGTAATCCCAAAGATTGCGTAAAATGGTCTTTTGGAGTCTTTTTGGAGTAAATGCATCTGTCATCTGTATCATTAAACAGTTGTGCATGAAAAGACTGTTTAATTATAGCTTTTGTGAAAGGCTATTGTTCTTTGAGCTGTGTGGGGGTTTTCTTTATTTTAGAACTATCAGATTAGGACTAACAACAGGAATATGCATAATAATGAAGCATGGAATCAATGTCACATTGTTTGTTTACATATTATGTGTAGGAATGTTTACATATTATGTGTAGGAATAATAACCTTAACCCTCAGAGAGTCAAGTGTGACGAGATATTCTTTTTCCTTAAAAGTGTTTTTAGGAAGCCACCAATAAAATGTATCAAATGTTGTTTGTAGTTTTAACCCAAAAATACAAAAGATATTACTTTGACCATTGCTTTGAACATTTGTTGCAAATTCAGGGCTAATAAATATTACAATACAACCTATCTCCTGAATTTGACTAGAATAATGCTCTGATTTAAACACTGCTAATATCATGTTCATTTTTTTTATAGTTTTAATAGGATTTAATAGTTCACCAAAAATAAAAATTCTTCATTAATTACTCACCCTCCTGTTGTTCCAAACCCGTAAGACTTTTGTTCTTCTTCAGAACACAAATTAAGATATTTTTTGATGAAATCTGAAATATTTTTGCCCCTCCACTGACAGCTACGTAACTGACATTGTAAAACGAATCCATATGAATAGAGGGGTTTAGTCCAATTTTTTTTGAAGAGACTCAATCGCTTTATATAATGAACAAAATTATTTAATCTAGGCTTTTATTCACATATAAACATTGATCAGCAAACAAACAGAAGCTCAAATTAACTTGATTCACTCGCGAGAACAAACCCCTTGCGGAAACTCAAACGTGCTGGTAACACGAAAGCTGCGTAACACACAAGAATGAGCCTCATTGGTTCTTGCTGAAGCTCAAACGTGCTGCGTAACACGAGAATGAGCCTCATTGGTTCTTGCTGAAGCTCAAACGTGCTGCGTAACACGAGAATGAGCCTCATTGGTTCTTGCTGAAGCTCAAACGTGCTGCGTAACATGAGAATGAGCCTCATTGGTTCTTGCTGAAGCTCAAACGTGCTGCGTAACATGAGAATGAGCCTCATTGGTTCTTGCTGAAGCTCAAACATGCTGCATTACATGAAAGAATGAGCCTCATTGGTTCTTGCTGCAGACACGAGAATGAACCTCATTGGTTCTTGCTGAAGCTCAAACGTGCTGCGTAACACGAGAATGAGCCTCATTGGTTCTTGCTGAAGCTCAAACGTGCTGCGTAACACGAGAATGAGCCTCATTGGTTCTTGCTGAAGCTCAAACGTGCTGCGTAACATGAGAATGAGCCTCATTGGTTCTTGCTGAAGCTCAAACGTGCTGCGTAACATGAGAATGAGCCTCATTGGTTCTTGCTGAAGCTCAAACATGCTGCATTACATGAAAGAATGAGCCTCATTGGTTCTTGCTGCAGACACGAGAATGAACCTCATTGGTTCTTGCTGAAGCTCAAACGTGCTGCGTAACATGAGAATGAACCTCATTGGTTCTTGCTGAAGCTCAAACGTGCTGCGTAACACGAGAATGAGCCTCATTGGTTCTTGCTGAAGCTCAAACGTGCTGCGTAACATGAGAATGAGCCTCATTGGTTCTTGCTGAAGCTCAAACGTGCTGCGTAACACGAGAATAAACCTCATTGGTTCTTGCTGAAGCTCAAACGTGCTGCGTAACACGAGAATGAGCCTCATTGGTTCTTGCTGAAGCTCAAACGTGCTGCGTAACATGAGAATGAACCTCATTGGTTCTTGCAGAAGCTCAAACGTGCTGCGTAACACGAGAATGAGCCTCATTGGTTCTTGCAGAAGCTCAAACGTGCTGCGTAACACGAGAATGAGCCTCATTGGTTCTTGCTGAAGCTCAAACGTGCTGCGTAACACGAGAATGAACCTCATTGGTTCTTGCTGAAGCTCAAACGTGATGCGTAACACGAGAATGAACCTCATTGGTTCTTGCTGAAGCTCAAACGTGCTGCGTAACACGAAAATGAACCTCATTGGTTCTTGCTGAAGCTCAAACGTGCTGCGTAACATGAGAATGAGCCTCATTGGTTCTTGCTGAAGCTCAAACGTGCTGCATTACATGAAAGAATGAGCCTCATTGGTTCTTGCTGCAGACACGAGAATGAACCTCATTGGTTCTTGCTGAAGCTCAAACGTGCTGCGTAACACGAGAATGAGCCTCATTGGTTCTTGCTGAAGCTCAAACGTGCTGCGTAACACGAGAATGAGCCTCATTGGTTCTTGCTGAAGCTCAAACGTGCTGCGTAACACGAGAATGAGCCTCATTGGTTCTTGCTGAAGCTCAAACGTGCTGCGTAACACGAGAATGAGCCTCATTGGTTCTTGCTGAAGCTCAAACGTGCTGCGTAACACGAGAATGAGCCTCATTGGTTCTTGCTGAAGCTCAAACGTGCTGCGTAACACGAAAATGAACCTCATTGGTTCTTGCTGAAGCTCAAACGTGCTGCGTAACACGAAAATGAACCTCATTGGTTCTTGCTGAAGCTCAAACGTGATGCGTAACACGAGAATGAACCTCATTGGTTCTTGCTGAAGCTCAAACGTGCTGCGTAACACGAAAATGAACCTCATTGGTTCTTGCAGAAGCTCAAACGTGCTGCGTAACACGAGAATGAGTCTCATTGGTTCTTGCTGAAGCTCAAACGTGCTGCGTAACACGAAAATGAACCTCATTGGTTCTTGCTGAAGCTCAAACGTGCTGCGTAACACGAGAATGAGTCTCATTGGTTCTTGCTGAAGCTCAAACGTGCTGCGTAACACGAGAATGAGCCTCATTGGTTCTTGCTGAAGCTCAAACGTGCTGCGTAACACGAAAATGAACCTCATTGGTTCTTGCAGAAGCTCAAACGTGCTGCGTAACACGAAAATGAACCTCATTGGTTCTTGCTGAAGCTCAAACGTGCTGCGTAACACGAGAATGAACCTCATTGGTTCTTGCTGAAGCTCAAACGTGCTGCGTAACACGAGAATGAGCCTCATTGGTTCTTGCTGAAGCTCAAACGTGATGCGTAACACGAGAATGAACCTCATTGGTTCTTGCTGAAGCTCAAACGTGCTGCGTAACACGAAAATGAACCTCATTGGTTCTTGCTGAAGCTCAAACGTGCTGCGTAACACGAAAATGAACCTCATTGGTTCTTGCAGAAGCTCAAACGTGCTGCGTAACACGAAAATGAACCTCATTGGTTCTTGCTGAAGCTCAAACGTGCTGCGTAACACGAGAATGAACCTCATTGGTTCTTGCTGAAGCTCAAACGTGCTGCGTAACACAAAAATGAACCTCATTGGTTCTTGCTGAAGCTCAAATGTGCTGCATAACACAAAAGAATAAGCCTCATTGATTCTCGCACATCAAGCGAGAATGCCGTTTACCAATGCCGCTTCCATTTACCAAAACTGATGTGTGAGTTGATGAATGCTTATGAATACAAGCCTAAATTCAATCTGTAAATTTTTGGAGGGCCACTGTCCTGCAAGAGTTTAGCATAAACTATATATTCTAGCCGGTGTTTTAAGTAAGTTGGAGCTAAACTCTGCAGGACAGTGGCCCTCCAGGACAGAGTTTGGACACCCCTGCTTTATGTGATTGAAAGTTATTTTTCAAGAGGATCACTTGCTTTCTGTGCATTCAAAACATTTCCAATAAATCTAAGCCTAAGAAAAGTCACTTTATTATTTGAACAGATTAAAGATTTGCATCTTCATCGACACATTCACAGTCATTTTTATGTGGTTTACCTGGATTGTTATAATCTGTTGTTTCCTTTTTTTACAGAAAGTCTTTGTCTTAAAGCTTTTATTAAGAGAGGCTCTTTTAATGTACTGTGCTGACTTTTGAAATAGCTTGAGTCTTTGTTATTGCCTAAAGGACTTTCAATCCTTTCCTTTTTTTAATTTGTATGGTATTTGATCTATATTCTTAATTCCTGTCCAAGTTCATGGGAATGTCTTAAACCTCCCTGTTTCATCTATTTGTGGAAACACTTATATTCAAATGTGTCTCTTCTCCCACAGGCTTCACCACAGCTATCAATGTGATCTGCAATAAGCCACGCTATGTGGTCATATTATTCCAGCCGGTCACACTCAGCTGTGATTACAGTACCACGGCTACATCCCCTCCACTGATCACCTGGAAGTACAAGTCCTACTGCAGAGACCCGATCCAAGCTGCTCTAAACCCCAGCAGTGCTGATAATGCCATCGCTCAGTCCAACCCAAACTACAACCCCAACATAGAGTGTGCAGACAGTGCCAGGACCGTTCGCATAGTGGCTTCGAAACAAACGGCGGTCACACTTGCGAAAGAGTACCAGGGTCGTCAGATCAGCATCACCAATAGTAAGTCATCTTTGGGCAGAGAAACTAAAAGAATATGAATCAAATTAGTTGCCCTAGCAACTAGATATTTCCTTCATTATTTTCACGCTAATTATGCCTGTTAAAATGTATTGTTGGAGCTACTGTTAATTTCACTGTTGTTGATATTAGTCTATCATATTTTAACTAATTTAATACCACAGTGAATATTTAGAGCTGCTTCAGCAGGGAGCAATGCTAAGGATTTTTTTTTCTACTTGTTTGGTTTGGCCAGTGGTTACAATTTTTAGATACCAGTGAAACGTCAATTTTCAGGTACATTTTTTTTATAAAGGAATCAAATGTAAAATAACACTAATAGTCTTCACTGTATAAAATAAAGTTACATAAAATATAAATATAAAATTACAGTTACAAAAGTTTCTTATACTTTCAATACTTTTCTATATGGGCATTTTGACATATATGTGTGAATTTGTCCATTCAAGTGCAAGAAGACATGATAGCGGACTTAATTTAATAGGCTGTTCGTGCGCTTTCTGAGAGGCAGTTTTCTGGGATGTTTGCGCACAGAAAACGTCTTGAAAATGTCATGCGATTACTCTACCGCCTTCCTGTAGTAATGTAGGGAATCACTCATTGTACATAATTCACGTAACGTTCATGTTTTTACTTGCACATGATTTAGTTTTAATCCAAATGATGCATGTGTGCTGCCGAGTAATCAAGATCAGCAATCAAAAGCATGCAACGTCAGTTAATGTTAGTAATATGGTCCTTATTTTACTTTCTTTGCTGTTACCAATTTGCCATATCTGACTGCACTCCAAACTTTCCAGTGACATCTGTGAAAAAGGGATAGAATCAACAAGCTTGCGCATCTGTGCCGTTGCGCACTCAATCCACTCTGCATGTTTCCCTTATCAGCTCGCGCACAGCAGCTATAGCGTGCCGTGAATATTTAATTTGTTTAATATTCTGTTAATTAGATATATTTACTTCATAGACATCCTTCTCTGATATCTCCATTGTGCTTTATGTTTGCTGTGTTGTCTGTTTCTCTTTGTTTGGACGGAAACACAACAAGCTGTGTAGTTGGTTTGAGAGCGTTTTAATGAGTACGTGTACATGAGCGTGGTATTTTTGTAATATATATACGTATATATTGTTTATTATTTATATGCATTTTATTATTTTTTCATTATTTTCACTAACAATGTGCCAAGTTTAGCCTGGCTAAATTGTATCTGCTAAGATTTCAATATGTACATTTATGATATGATTTAAGCACCTCTGAAACCTATACTTACTTTTATTTTTATATATATAGATGCAGATCTTAACTTTGCTCAGACTGCTTGGGGAGACAGCGGTGTGTATGTCTGTACAGTCGGCTCAGCCCAGGACCTTTCAGGGAATGGCGAGTGTTTTACAGAGCTCATTGTGCTTGGTAAGTGTTTACCTTCTGACAAACAATCTCAGACTGATAGACACCCAAACATTTCATCATGTGTGATTTTAAACGCATGCATTGCACACTTGTTCGTTCTTTCAAACTCTGTTTTGTTTGTTTTATTTTTGTGCATGTGAGGAATTAGGGCTGTGTTAGATGATATCTTAGAAGTTGTTTGCGTTTTTTCATTTACTATTTGTTTGTATTTTTATTATTAAAAATTATTATTTTCAATGGTCACAGTTTAGATTAGGGTCCAATAGTTAGTAAAGTAGTTGTTAAATTTAGGTATTAGGTAGGATTAAGGGATGCAGAATAAGGCATTAATATGTGCTTTATAAATGCTAATAAACAGCCAATATCCTAGTAATATGCATGTTGATAAGCGCCTAGTTAATAGTGAGAATTGGACCCTAAACTAAAGTGTTACTTACCTTTTCATTAATTTCCACCTGGAAGGTCACGGTTTGCTTGTGAAGGATTCAAGGGTATTTCTGTTATAGAAAACAATTATATATTGATAAATACTAATATTAGTAATTAGACTAATAACAGTAGTAGTAATTTTATTCACTTAAAGGCTATTTTTCTCCTTGGGCCGATGCCGAAAGGCCTTTTTCAGTAATTATGGCTTTGTCTTTCTTTCACAGAGAGAAAGTCAAATACTACAGACCTGCTGCCTGGCATTGATTTACTGATCATGGAAGGTAGAATAAGTGCTTTTCTCTAGAGGTCTGGTTAAGTTTGGAGCTGTACTTGAATCCTTCACCAGCCACAGCCAGGTCTAAAACTATACTAGACTAAAACTATAGATCTTGGAGTAGAATTTGATGCATAAACAAGATTTTGAGGGACAGAAGGACTGTGTGTTCAATGTGTGTCACTGTGTCCTTAAATGGTGTCCAGCCTCTAAAACATAAAAATTAGATTTTACGATATAGTACAACATGTATGTTAAATGAATCCACAGCCTTGTTTTTATTTGTGAGATTAAAGGGACACTATGTAACTTTTGGCCTTCTAACGGTAAAAAAACAAAAAAAACATTGCATGCATTTTGCAGAAAAACATTGTTTTGGTTGTGCTTTGCCTCTGCGTAATGAATATGGTTATCCTACTGCTCACAAAACCTTCACAACTAGGCTTAAGAGATATAACCAGCTTAGATAGAAAGGTTGTCAAGCTGACTAGCTGAAGACATTACTGTAGCTTTACCCATTAATAGACACGATACTTCCTTGAAAATAAATTCCAGCACAGCTCTACAACCATAATGAATGACCCTTCACAATAGATTATGCTTTACAATAAACTCTGTTAGAGAGCTACATATGGCGAAAAATCTGTTCAATAAAATGCATTACTCACCTGTTGAGTAATAAAAACGCCATCTCCGCATCACTTTGACAACATTTCAAACCCTCAGTTCTCGCCATCTCCGAAAAGCCAAACCAATGTTGATTCTAGTTTTATTACAAGCTCTGTCACGTTCTCTTTTTGCCAGCAGACTCTCCTCTGTTCTGTATTTATTTAAAACGGGTGATTCCCCAGAGAGTTTAGCGGCTCTGTGTCAATCTTTCTCACTCGTTGTAACAACTAACCTCTGACACTCACACACCATACACACCTCAAAGCAGCCGCAGCAACTTTTCTCTATTTGTGGAAAACCATCCCGACAGGTTTAATATATAAACATTTATAATAGGCTTACTATAGTAAATCAGAGTAAGACAAAAACACATTTTGGAAGAAGGATTGATGTATTGATAAAAGTTACATAGTGTACCTTTTAGTATGTTGTCTACTCTGACTGAGGTCAATTGCTAATTAATTATTATGCGTCTTTTATTTGAATACTTGATTCTGATTGGCAGCATTCTGTCTTATCACTCAACCTCTTCTCAAGTAATAAACCAATTTCAGTAAAACAATATTAAACATCCATTCATTTATTTATTTGGTAAGTAGCTATGGAATAAGTGGGGTGATTTACAGTTAGATGACTGACTGTACATTACTGCCACCTTAGATTTGCATAAGGCTCTTTAATTTGGTGGTTTTCTCTGTCAGATTGTGGAATAGTTTCTAAGATCTGCGTCTGCACATGAGTCATGTTGTGTCTGTGCATGTAGGATGTTGTTATGGTGCATGCTGGAATCAAGCCCTGGCAGAGTATTGTGAAGCAAAACCTGTCCGGCTGGTTTTTCTTTATGTGCGTCAAATACTTCTCTCTCTTTTTTTTATTTTTTTTTGCTTGCCAGCAGCAAGAACTGACAGACATGTGCACACACGAAGATAAAAGCATCTCATGACATGCCAAAATAAAAGTGTGTGTAAAACTATATATAATCCAATTATATCCCAATTTTGTCTTCTGAGCAGTCTTCAGAAATGAAAATTAAACCAATATTGCTTTTACACGCGCATCTCTTCAGTCTTTTCTGTTTAATTCCCTGAGTCCTCTGTTTAGTATCTGAAGCAAGCAATTTGTCTCTCTTGTTGTTCTCCAGACTGGTTGTTAGTGGTGTTGGTGGTCCTGGGCTTCTTGTTGTTGTTGCTCCTGATCGGTATCTGCTGGTGTCAGTGTTGCCCTCACACCTGCTGCTGTTACGTCAGATGCCCCTGCTGCCCGGAGCGCTGCTGCTGTCCCCGCGCCTGTGAGTCCACACCTCCTTCACTTCCACTTCCCCTTCCCCTCTTAGCCACAAATGGGCCTGTTCCTCATTTAGGAAGATGAAAGTAAATCAAACTGAATGAAAAGACAGTAAAAATGATGAAGTGGTCAGTGTTATTTTTGTATTATTTATATACTATTATAGTTAAATAGTTTGATTTAGCATTTATATTTATATTATATAACATTTTTAGTCATCTATGCCTTTTATTTTACTTTCTTTTTAATATATATATATTTAGGTATTATTATATTTTATAAATTGTTTATTTTATATATATTTTAGCTTTATTTTAGCTTTAGTTTCTTTTTACTTCCACATAAAACTTATCTCGGTTAGTTTTAATCTTTTATATAAGCTTAACAAATGTTTTTATGTTTTACTTTTAGTTAAATATAGTAACCCTGGGAGTGGAAAATGTGTTAAAGAAAAGTGTTCAAAATTCCCCTTTGTGTGAATTGTTTTTTTATTAGTGCTGTCAGTAGATTGAAAATAAATAATCTAATTAATTACTTGATATGCTGATGAATTAATCAGATCAATTATAACTGCCTCAACCACTTTAAGTTTAAGACTACTTTAAGTCTAAATTTTTAGGAAGGGAACCACCAGCTTCTTTTTACATAGACATAAACAAAACCAGGCATAATTCACATGACACAGTCAGGCAATAAAAATGTGTTTTGCTATTTTATATAAACAAACAAACAGACAAAAAAAAAACCTATAATAAACCAACAATGGGCATACAAGAAAGAAAGACTGTAACAACACTTTCAATTCGGTGTAACAACAATACATGAATTAAAATGAACCTGAAAGCCTTATCTGATATAGTCCATGGGTGCGAAACACAGTCTGGTGAAGATGGAGATGGTGGTCTTGGACATAGAATAATTCCAATCAAAAATAAATAAATCCAATGTGCAGGTAATCCCAAAAAGCAAAGCTACATGTTTACAATCCTTGTGCCTGAGATCCAAGAGATCCACAAGGTGAATAAAGACACATTTCATAAATGAAAATTCTCTTTTGATCTTCAAGCAATGAATAGAAGCCATATAAATGAGAGTAGCAATAAAGAGTCCTTCTACAACAGAAGACATCAACTTAACATTAGCAGTGAAGCCAGTTAATAAACAGTCTTAAATAACACAGAAAAAGCATGTGCAATGATAATGATTATAAACCAATACAAAAACCACACCAGAAAATAGGTAAAAAAAAAAAAAAAAAAAAAGTGGTTTGTGTTAAGACAGCAGGTAAGCCATGCTTCCTCTGTCCAACAAATCTTACCTGCTCTACTACCCACTTGGGTATATACCATCTACTAGAGTACCCCTAGAGTAGCGCCTCTGGTGGTGTGTAGTACACTCAATACGAAAAAAACATGGCAACAGGCCTGAGCCTGTTACACAATTGTAAACATATGCATGCATGAATATTTGCGTTAACACACATTTTATTGCATTTTTGTTTTAAATAATAACTTGCACTAAATTTAAAAATGTTTGCAGTATACGAGGCTGGTAAAATGGCTAAGTCTGGTGTCCCCAGTCAGTACGCACCCACCGTCTATGCCCCAAGCATGTACGGACAGCCAGCTTATGGAGTTGGCGGAGGTGCACATGGCATGCCCATGCTCCCTATGCCGATGGGCCACACTATGGCGATGGGTCCTCCCTCCAATGGCTACGGCAGAGACTACGACGGGGCCAGCTCAGGTAAACTCGTCCTCTCATTGCCCTAAAAACTGCAGTTTAACAAAATAGTTTTTTACATGAATAAATCTAATTAGTTGATCATTTGTTCTTCCCACTACAGTTGGCCAAGGATCTCAAGTGCCGTTGCTGCAAGACCACGATGGTGGAGGAAGTACGCGAGAGATCTTTACTATATCAGTGTTTGACTTATGTTTTATATTATATTATATTTTTTTATTAAAATATTCTTTTTTTTAATTATTAAAATACTTTGCTGAGCATATGTAATCAATTCGCAATTTATTTATTGTCTAGTAGTTTTTCCTACTCATTTATTAATCCATCTAAATCAGGGGTGCCCAATTCTTTTCCTGGAGACTTACCTAACTGCAGAGTTCAGATCCAGCCCTGCTCCAACACAACTGTCTGTAGTTATGAAGTGCTTCTGTTGATCTTAATTAGCTGGTTAACTTGTGTTTGATCAGGGTTTAGAGCTGAACTTTGGAGAAAGGCAGATCTCCAGGAATAGGATTGGGCACCCCTGATCTTTATTTGTAAGTGATTTTAAGCCTAAATGTTGGTTGATTTAAATCTAATGTTGGTATTGTTTTTCAGACCGTAGTGGATACCGTGTTCAGGCCGACCAAGATGGAAACCCAACACGGGTGCTTTACTATATGGAGCGAGAACTGGCCAACCTTGACCCCAGTCGCCCAGGGAACACTCCAGGCAAATACAGTCGTCGTGAGTTCTGGAGATGGGCACTATCTTTCACTCTGAGGGTTGGGTTATAACAAAGTGGTGCTTAAAGGGGCTATATGTAAAATTCAGAAACCCTTGTTATTAGTGACACCGGTGGCCGTACAAGAGATTGGAAGTGAACACAAAGTTGATTAGTATTCATTTTCGTTCTTTGCTTAGCATCATCCAGAACATTGTATAAGCATTCATTTCATGTGTCAGAGAATGGAAGAGAGGCTCTCAGGAGTCTGAGTAAATGTCACATCAATTTCATTTTCCTAACAAAAACCTTAAATCAGTTTACAGGCTTTCAAAGACAATCTAGAAAGTCGGGGAAGGTCTCTTTTTTTAAAGTTTCTTTACAAGCTGTTGACACATGGCAATAAAAAAGGGATTAATACATGGAAATTCGTACATATAGCCGCTTTAAAATGAAGTAGGACATGTTCCTGGGTCAAGATCCTCTGATGGTCCATGAACAACATTCAAATCAACCAATTTTTGACAGGGTTAGGGATTCACAAACATGTCCTACTTGTGTGTGTGAAAGTTTTTTACATTAATAAATCTAATTAGTTGATCATTTGTTCTTCCCACTACAGTTGGCCAAGGATCTACAGGCAATCTAAAGGAAACATATTTGGTTTCAACTACAGGTCCTTCTCAAAAAATTAGCATATTGTGATAAAGTTCATTATTTTCCATAATGTAATGATAAAAATTAAACTTTCATATATTTTAGAATCATTGCACACCAACTGACATATTTCAGGTCTTTTATTGTTTTAATACTGATGATTTTGGCATACAGCTCATGAAAACCCAAAATTCCTGTCTTAAAAAATTAGCATATTTCATCCGACCAATAAAAGAAGTGTTTTTAATACAAAAAAAAAAGTCAACCTTCAAATAATTATGTTCAGTTATGCAATCAATACTTGGTCGGGAATCCTTTTGCAGAAATGACTGCTTCAATGCGGCGTGGGATGGAGGCAATCAGCCTGTGGCACTGCTGAGGTGTTATGGAGGCCCAGAATGCTTCGATAGCGGCCTTAAGCTCATCCAGAGTGTTGGGTCTTGCGTCTCTCAACTTTCTCTTCACAATATCCCACAGATTCTCTATGGGGTTCAGGTCAGGAGAGTTGGCAGGCCAATTGAGCACAGTAATACCATGGTCAGTAAACCAATTACTAGTGGTTTTGGCACTGTGAGCAGGTGCCAGGTCGTCCTGAAAAATGAAATCTTCATCTCCATAAAGCTTTTCAGCAGATGGAAGCATGAAGTGCTCCAAAATCTCCTGATAGCTAGCTGCATTGACCCTGCCCTTGGTAAAACAGTGCACCAACACCAGCAGCTGACATGGCACCCCAGACCATCACTGACTGTGGGTACTTGACACTGGACTTTAGGCATTTTGGCATTTCCTTCTCCCCAGTCTTCCTCCAGACTCTGGCACCTTGATTTCCGAATGACATGCAAAACTGAGCAACAGTCCAGTGCTGCTTCTCTGTAGCCCAGGTCAGGCGCTTCTGCCGCTGTTTCTGGTTCAAAAGTGGCTTGACCTGGGGAATGCGGCACCTGTAGTCCATTTCCTGCACACGCCTGTGCACGGTGGCTCTGGATGTTTCTACTCCAGACTCAGTCCACTGCTTCCGCAGGTGCCCCAAGGTCTGGAATCGGTCCTTCTCCACAATCTTCCTCAGGGTCCGGTCACCTCTTCTCGTTGTGCAGCGTTTTTTGCCACACTTTTTCCTTCCCACAGACTTCCCACTGAGGTGCCTTGATACAGCACTCTGGGAACAGCCTATTTGTTCAGAAATTTCTTTCTGTGTCTTACCCTCTTGCTTGAGGGTGTCAATGATGGCCTTCTGGACAGCAGTCAGGTCGGCAGTCTTACCCATGATTGCGGTTTTGAGTAATGAAACAGGCTGGGAGTTTTTAAAAGCCTCAGGAATCTTTTGAGGTTTTTAGAGTTAATTAGTTGATTCAGATGATTAGGTTAATAGCTCGTTTAGAGAACCTTTTCATGATATGCTAATTTTTTGAGACAGGAATTTTGGGTTTTCATGAGCTGTATGCCAAAATCATCAGTATTAAAACAATAAAAGACCTGAAATATTTCAGTTGGTGTGCAATGAATCTAAAATACAGCGGGGGAAATAAGTATTGAACACGTCACTATTTTTCTCAGTAAATATATTTCCAAAGGTGCTACTGACATGAAATTTTCACCAGATGTTGATAACAACACAATGAATCAGTACATACAAAGAAACCAAAACAAATAAGCTCAGAAATTAAGTTATGTGTAATAATGTGAAATGACACAGGGAAAAAGTATTGAACACATGAAGAAAGGGAGGTGCAAAAAGGCATGGAAAGCCAAGACAACAGCTTAAAACTATTAGTAATTAAAAAGCAATCCAACCCCCTGTCCGTGCACATTAATAACAGCTGGTTCAGTCCCAACGGATGGCCTACAAAAAGGTCTCATTGCCAAGGTGTCACACAAGACACATCTCATGATGGGTAAAAGCAAAGAGCTGTCTCAAGACCTTCGCAACCTAATTGTTCCAACACATAATGATGGCATTGGTTATAGGCACCATTCTAAGCTTCTGAATGTTCCAGTGAGCGCTGTTGGGGCCATAATACGGAAGTGGAAAGACAATCATTTCACCATAAATTTGCCTCAACCACTGCTCCTCGCAAGATTTCTGATAGAGGAGTTAAAAGAATAATCAGAAGAGTTGTCCAAGAGCTAAGGATCACTTGTGGAGAGCTTCAAAAAGACCTGCAGATAGCAGGTACTGTGTTCTCAAAGAAAACAGTAAGTAATGCACTCCACCACCATGGCCCGTATGCACGCTCACCACGCAAGACTCCATTACTGAAGAAAAAAAGCATGTTGAAGCTCGTTTAAAGTTTGCTGCACAACATTTGGAAAAGCCAGGGAAATACTGGGAGAATTTAGTGTGGTCACATGAGAGCAAAATTGAATTGTTTGGATGCCATAATACACACCATGTTTGGAGGAGAAATGGCACTGCACATTACCCTAAAAACGCCATACACCTTGGTGTTAGCTCTTGGACAACTCTTCTGATTATTCTTTTCACTCCTCTATCTGAAATCTTGCGAGGAGCAGTGGTTGAGGCAAATTTATGGTGAAATGATTGTCTTTCCACTTCCGTATTATGGCCCCAACAGCGCTCACTGGAACATTCAGAAGCTTAGAATGGTGCCTATAACCAATGCCATCATTATGTTTTGGAACAATTAGGTTGCGAAGGTCTTGAGACAGCTCTTTGCTTTTACCCATCATGAGATGTGTCTTGTGTGACACCTTGGCAATGAGACCTTTTTGTAGGCCATCCGTTGGGACTGAACCAGCTGTTATTAATGTGCACGGACAGGGGGTTGGATTGCTTTTTAATTACTAATAGTTTTAAGCTGTTGTCTTGGCTTTCCATGCCTTTTTGCACCTCCCTTTCTTCATGTGTTCAATACTTTTTCCCTGTGTCATTTCATATTATTACACATAACTTAATTTCTGAGCTTATTTGTTTTGGTTTCTTTGTATGTACTGATTCATTGGGTTGTTATCAACATCTGGTGAAAATTTCATGTCAGTAGCACCTTTGGAAATATATTTACTGAGAAAAATGGTGACGTGTTCAATACTTATTTCCCCCGCTGTATATGAAAGTTAAATTTTTATCATTAGATTATGGAAAATAATGAACTTTATCACAATATGCTAATTTTTTTTTAGAATGACCTGTATGTTTCCTGTAGATTCTCCATTTTTCCAAGGTTGGGGGATGATTTATTTGTAATCGTTTTGTTTATTAAAACATTTTGGTCTTGTTCTGCTTTTCTCACCTGTCCTCCAGTGGATGGTATGAGCGAGGTGAGCTCACTTCACGACGGTCCAGACTCTCGAAATCGTGGTCGGGCCAGACCACCTCAGCTTACCACGGTGTACGATGATGTGGACGAGAATATGAGTACCATCAGCAGCGTGTCTCAGCACATCCGACGGGACGAGCACAGGCAGGGGGCTGACAATCGAGGACGCGCCCGCTCCATGGAACACTTAGACGATATTGGCCGCAATTACCGAGACCGAGATGACTATCCACCCACTCGTCGAGATGGTGGGGCCAGGGGCGACAGAAGAGGGTTAGTGAATTAATCGTTGCTGACGATTAATCTGCTAAATTAATGCGTTCAGTCCTTCTTAAAACATGACTTTACTCTGTCTAGTTCGGATGACGAGTGGAGCAGCAGCGGACGAGGATACGACCGTGGCGCCGATGACCGTCGACGCCGTGATTACTCTCCAGACAATCGTCCTCGTCGTGGAGACTCCTTCCGTGGGGTCGGTTTCCAGGGCCGCCGCAGCCGTAGTCGTGACGACCTGATGGATCTGGAGCGAGATCGTGGCCGCGGAGGCCGGGACGCGTACGATGACAGCTTCCTGAAGGAGGCCATGGAAAAGAAGAAGTTAGGCGAACAGCAGAGAGGCCGCAGCCGCGAGAGGCTCGACAGCGAGAGCGACCGTTCTGACCGCTACAGGGGGCCACACGGCGGACCGCCTCCTCTGCCGCTCGCCCCGCCCTCTGGAAACCCCGATCGCCGTGGCAATCACAGCAACTTCCCACCTCCTCCCCCTCCCTACACTGAGGACAGTGACAGTTTGCCATCATCCAAAAAGAGCAACTTAAAAAAGGTAAGAGCCAGATTCAAAAGTTCAAAAGATACTTTTTGAACGTCGTGAGATACTTTTTGAAAAAAGATACTTTAAAAAAAAAAAAAAAAAACGTTTTATCCACCGCACCCTCGATTTCTGGTCCTACCTCTGTAAAAACCATGGAAACACCAAATATGCTTTAATATATTATGTTTTTATTAGGCAGGTGAGCAACTGTTTGGATACTAGGGCTGTAGCGATACACTAATCTCACGATACGATACTAGATATTCAGCTTACGATACGATATATATCACGATATTCAGCCAACGACACGATTCGATATAATTCGATACACTTACATCATTTTCTGAAAGATTTAAAGGGGACAGAGTGATTTTGGTGACATTTTGTGAGTGTTCAATTTACTTGGATTGAATTAATTGAACTGAAAACTAAAAACATCAATTACACAATATATGTCTGACTGGACAGAGTCTCTACAGCTTGCAAATGGTGGACAAAGTGAATCAAAGATGTGTTGAGAAAATTAGTTCCATTTATTGAAACAGTGCAAACTGTAGCTTACAAGCCTTTGAAAAGTAAATAAAGTGCAGTATTGCAATTAACAATGCAGAGTTAAAAAGGGCAAATAAAGTTTTGAGAAAAAAGGTTTTATAAAAAGATAAACCTCACATATTTCAGCCTTTAAATCATTTTTTATAAAAAGAATGAGTCAAAAAAGATAAATTACTGACATTTACATTGCACATTAGCTTATATTTTATTAATAGTAAAATTCGGTCCGATTTTCCTGTGGCGTCTGTCGTTGCTAAGCAACCATGCACTGCGCTCTCCACTCCACAACAAAGACGTTTTAGTAGCTAATAGATTTCCACCACCGAAAAACGCTTGCTGTAGCTCTGATAAGTTACAAGAATTATTTACGGAGAAGAGAAAAACACCCGTAGTGTTTGGGTGCACCCCCATCCTTCATGTTGACCGAGCTTTCAATGTTGTTACGTAAAGGGTGAAGCTGATGGTTGGTTCTTGTCTCATGAACTGCGGTGCGCTTGCGGCATTATGAAAAGTTGAGGCGTTTTCATCTCGCTGCGCCTGGGAAAAATGAGCGCGTCGCTTCAATTATGCAGCTTGCCCCGCGCCTACATTTGAAATAACGAACTTGAGTGCGCAAAAGACACGATATGTGAAACAACCCCTTGACGAGCTAAGTGCAACACGGGGATTTGAATGGGACTTATGTATCGATACTCGCGGCTTAAAAATCGATACTTTCTTGGGGAAAAAATATCGATTTATATCGCAGAATCGATAAAATTGCTCAGCCTTATTGGATACCTTTATTGACAGAAAACGAATTATTGTTCTATTGCTCAAAACGGTTGGGTCCTGTTTACACCTGGTATTAAGATGCGTTTTGGTCGATCGGATTACAAGTGGACAATGTTAAATACACGTTCACTTAAGACATAAACGACTGTTTACGAAGAAACATTTTGACACATATGTGTGTGTATTTGACTGTTCAAGCCCAGTAAGATAAGTACTCACACACTGTATGATAAGCAGCTTTATGTGCGTGTGTTCCAGGTGTGTGCACTGACTGCCCTCAGATTTAGATCCTTCTCACATATCGCATAGCATTAAAACACACATTGTTTCTTGAGACCACGCTATAACTCCACAGTGGTGATGACATGACTATGGCGCTAAATTCTGACGTGATCAATTTGCGATCGTTTGGTGAGATCTGCCTATTTTAGTGACTCCTGATCGAGTCATAGAATATGATTATCGGCAGATACTGATCTGTGCCCGACCGAATGGAGCATCCCTAAAACCCATACATTTACCCACCCATAGACCCTCCCCGCCAAGAAATCTGCACAGAAGTGATTGAAAGTGGACAAAAGAGACTGATTAAAATACCAGGTGTAAACGGGTATGTGTCTTATTTGGTTTATTTGTAGTAACAGTAATACTGTATTTTCTCCACCATACAATATATTTTAAAATGAACTGCATGCCATTTAGCAACAAAAGTAATCCAGCTTTTATTAATGATATTTTAGTAGGATTGTTTTGACCAAGTAAAACAGTGCTGCATTACCCCATAATTTTAATTGGTCAAATAAAGTGACCTGTATAAGTAGTAATTCAGCACTCGTGGCTGTTTCATTAGAATGAGATAAAATAATGTGAATTTAAGTGAACAAACGTAACTGTAACAAAGTTCAAGTTCAGGTATTGGTATTCAAATTCAAGTATTGTTTTGAATAAGCGACCTCTAGCAGCGAAACTTACATACTGTGCCTTTAAAACGTATGAATTATGTATCGTTTCTTTAATTACAATTTTTTAGGTTATTGTTGGTTGTTTTATTCACAGTGATATTTCAAACTGAAAGCTTTTTGAAAATCCAACTAAAACCAGATATAGCTTTACAACAAGGCAAGTGGTCAGCACCAGCTGAAATACCAATTTATTGCAATGCTGTTATTGTTAACTAAAACTAAACATATTAAAAATTGTTTTGAAATAAAAGAAAATATAAATATTAGATGGAAAAACTTAAACTTTAAAGCTTTAAACAAAAATTAGACTAGCCAAAGTACTAAAATTACTAAAACTGAAATAAAAAATGGATAATATATAAGTAATACTAAAATAATGCTGGTTTGTTGGTACCTAATTAAATTTTAATCTATTTTATAGTGCAATCATTGTTGTGCACTATTCATGTGATGCATCTATATGCAAGGAATATACATATTCCTGGCATGGAATAATAAGATATTCAAAAAGCAGGGAGGAGCAGTGATACTAGAAATAAACGAGTAGGCAAAATGGAGATGGATATTTACAGCATGTACATGTACAAAATTGTATTTTAGTTAACTAGTTTGACTGACTTGCTGAACTCTGTACACAATGACTCTCCTGAAAAAAATGCAAAAGGTCATGCTTGCTTTAGATGGTCATAGTGGATTTTACACTGGTAACACTGGTATAGTAGTTTGTTGGTTCGCTTCCACCTTTGGCTAAACATTATAACATTTTTCTGTTTTTCTGAATGTTTTCCATTTCAAATTCTAGCTTTTCTTTGTCAATGTTATGTGAAACTCAGAAGAAGACGACACTATGAATGCTTTAATATTCAGTCATATTATAGTTTTAATAATACAACGTTTTGCTGTGTTTTCTTTGGCCAGAATGGAGCTGTGAGCAGAGAGAGTCTGGTGGTGTGACGCGGCAGTGAATGCTCAGGTGGAAATAGTGTGTGTGTGTGTGTTTCCTCTGCTCTTTCACAATACTTATGTGTGTGTATGAGTTTTAGGTTGATTGCTAAGAAGAATTTTTGTTAATATTCATCATGTATTTTTATGGGATTTTTTAATGATAATAATTGTATAGCCATATAGTTTAGATTATTTCACTGTTATGTAGCCTCGTTTATGAACATGAAATGGCAGATTCGAAGCATTTTTATTTTATTTTTATGATTTGGTTCCTACCATGAACATTTTTTAACAGCAAATGCTCAAAAACTGTCAGACTGTGCAAATACGTCTATTTCTGTATTTGAATGTGTTTTAATAGATGTTAATTTGTGTCCGGAGAAAATATGAACTATAGAGCCTTTTAGTTTTTTAGGTATTGATTTTTAATTAATGTAACATAAAGAAATGATATTTGTATGGACTGAAATTCTATTGTGTTTGAGGCATCATGCGGTTTCTGCAAGTGGGTGATTTATATAATGTATTGTTAAATTTTTTATGCACATTTACAAATTCAAGAACCCTCTATGAAATACCCCTGTGTGTGCTATTATTTAATGTTGTGTTTTTTATTTTATACATATGTTTAATACTTACTCTAATCTGAGATTTGGTCATACAGTCATTTGTGATTTTGCTATTTTTGTACAGTCTTGTAATGTCAATTTTCAATAAAGCTTTTCTATTGTATTTAGGTTTGTTGTCTTGTTAGGGATCAATGTGACATACTTTTTTTATATTCTTTGGTGTTTCTGAATTGTGCCCACTAGATGGCAGTTTACTATTCATGTACAATAATAGCAGGGAATGACATACAGAATTAATTTACATGTATTTTACATAAATTACAGGTATTTCATCTGTACGTCTGCAATTCAAATATGCATTTAATGTTAGAAATGTTTCTGTAAAGTTAAGGTTCATGTTTTGGGCAGCTTGTTCTGATGGCATTGGTCCTGTACATTGCTGTCTTTACAGACTAGAAGCTGACATATGTATATGAGAGAGTGCTTGCTTTTAAGTGCTTCTACTGTTATTGTGTTCTGCCTGGTGGGTTTATCAGAAAACAAAGCATATTTTCTAACCCAGATAGAGAAGAAGGACCAACAACTGCCTCTGTGAGACGTACTTTCTGAAATCCACCGCTGGTTGCCTGCCAAGATCACAGCAGAGAGGTAGCCATCAATGCTTTCATCCATCTGGTGTCTTAAAGCAGCAATTCCTTAGGAAATTCTCACCCACCTTCTTTCTATCCGAAGAAACGGCATCAGTAAAGGCCAAGTGACCCCTACAGTTCAGACAGCTGGTAAATGAATCTGAGTAATATACGGTTTTCTATAACAATTACATTGCAGAGTTGAGTGTAACACTACATGAGAAGACTAATCAAATCCAGTTGAAAATGTATGGAGAAATTCAAAACGGCAAGGACTTGAGGTATGTTTGTGTCCAGTTTCTTTTTTAAATGCAGTAACATTTGTAGAAATTCGGTTTGCTGCAGTGATGTTTTTCTGTTTGTGAAATCAAAGCATTACTAATCAGAGTGTTAATGTAAAACCACAATAACAATCATGTGTCAGTGGCACATGCCACCAGATAGTGAGGGGTGGCAGAGAGAGAGAGAGAGAGGCAGGGTGGGAGGGATTGAGATGCAATTGGAAAAGAGACGGGAATCGCTCGAGTTTATCGGCATTCTGTCTGCCTGTTTACAGTGAAGACCATCTGATAAGGTAAGTCTGATCTTTATAAGCCAGCAACCATACATGATGTGCCAGGCGACACATACGTGAGGTTAAGAAATGTTTATTTGGAAAGTCACAATTTATTTTGAGTGACAATTTAATTTACTATTATTTTTCTCATTTAACTTTTTTTTGTCTATTATTAAATATTTATTTATCAGATTTTTTATTTTATATTGTGTGCAAGTAGTTTATAGACAAATAAGTGATTAACACCTATTATTACTTTATCATTTAATTTTGTGAAATCCATTTTCCCCTTCTTTTTTTTAACACAAAAGCTTCTCAGTTGTTTGGTTATTGTGTATACAGTATATCAGAGCATCAAATGTGATGGCACTTTAGACATATGGCACTAGAGATTAATCATGCATCCTAACAGTGAAATGCATTGTTTTTGGTCATACAACTCAAGTCAATGCCTCACAAAATGATTTTTTTTCTCAAGGGTGATTATTATGTTGGCCAGTTCCTCTCTTGGTTACGTGCCAGTGAATCAAACCCCACTGTGGATGAATGTCCTATAGTTTTTGGAGATGTGAAGTGTGCTGTTATCTGGCATTTGCACTCGTCCAAGTGCACAATATTAACTGTATGACCTATTATTGAGTGCCAGCTGCCTCATTGGCAGTTTCTAGTTAGTGTGTTTGTTTGTGCACTTCAGTTCAGTAAATTACACTTTATTAAACAGCATTTGCTTTGGTCATTTTTAAAGTAGTCCCAAAACATATTTTGATGCTTAACTCAGACTTGTGTCGTTGTAGTAGGCATATATAGCAAAATTTCTAACCAAATGTCATTTACTTTAAAGATAGATGGCATGAACACACTTTTCAAGGAAAAGACATATTTTACAAAAAATAAGTTTGTAAGGGTTTTAAATGATCAAATGAAAAATCTTACTTTTCAAAAGGAAGTATTTCTTGGTTGTCAAACATTAGTGTTCATTACTGATGTGATTCTCTACACCTGGTTACTCTGCTGGCTGGGACACCTGTGTGAATGTGAGTGTGAGGAGAACTGACTTCATGGCTGTGTCCAAAAACTTAGGCAGCTTACTTGTTGCCCTATCAGACAATGACTTTGCAGGCAGCTTTTTGCACGAAGGTCCTTCACGAAACTGATTTCATACAGACTTTTGAGGCAGCTTATCTGTTTAATGATCTATATAAATGCCTCCATTCATTCATCTACAAAATAGAGAGAGAATACATCTATGCTGCCTTCAAAAATCGATCAGATGAAGGTATCTCAGGAGACCGGAAGTAAAGCTAACATTGGATTCGGACGGGCCTTGATGCCTTCCTGCTTTGGAATGCATCTTCCGAATGCAGCATTTTTCAACTTTTGGCCCATAAATCCATAAAAATCGTACCTTTTGGCTAAAAGTGACACTTGGTTTGATATATTTTATCTCATGCAGTGACATCTTTTTTTTTGGCTTAAACATGTTTTGAGTCACTGTTCTTATCCACAATGAGTTGTGAATAATTACATGGATTAATGTTACAAAATGCATCTATTTTTATTCATTTTAGACCAGTCTTGGTTGTCAATGCACTGTTTTTTCTCTGTTGAAAAGATGCAGATTATGACAATCTGGCTGTTACTCAACATTATTTCCTGCTGTGTTTTTTCTGTTGATCCGAGTAAAACAAATACTCCTCTTCATCTGCCGTCCTTGTCTTTGCTGGACAGTGGTTTTAGGTCTGTTATTCTGACCCTGTTTCAGACAGGAGTCATTAATTACCATCAGAGTCACCCTGTTCCATGACTCCGTGTCCCGTTCTCCTCATACCTTTCCGTTGTGCCACAAACCATCTATACTGTCTGTCTTTCCAAAGACAAAAGGAGGACAATGGATCCTTTTTTGTCCTAGCGCTGAGCGCCCTCACCCCATATCTATACAGCAGGGCAAGAGCTCAGTCCTCCAGGCACGCTGACCTCATGGCTCAAACCAGAGGCCTGCTGTAGGCCGGTGTGTGTGTGTGTGACTGGTATAGTGGGGTATGATCATAGATGCAGCAGTAATGGGGAAAAGCCTGACTCATGTGGGTATAAGAGCACCCTGTTGAGAAGAGAGAGGGAGTGGTTGTATAGGCAGGGTCAGTGGGAGGGATCTGCAACGCTTTAATGCGTATTAATATTAATAATGTTATAGGTATATAATGAATAGATCTATATCTGTCTATACCATCTAAAAATGTTTATATGCATTTCACTGGATAAGATAGTCTACATTATTCTTTCTGCATATATAGTGTGTATGTTAGTCAATTAATTTTTTACATTTGAAAAATAATGAATGTAAGCATTTTATTTATATTTTTAATATAATAATTGAATGAATAAATTAATTAAACAATTAAATGTTTAGCTGCTTGACCTTAATTATTTTAATTTAATATTACATGTAATGTAATATTCTTTAATGAAATTAGTAGACAATAATTGGTGGATCCCCTGTTGAGGTTCTAGCAGGAGTATGTTGCTTAAGTTAATAATAAAATATATATTTTATGTAATGTTTTTTAGATTTAAAAATGATTATGCAGTAACCGTCGTTGTGTGTTCAAGCTTACGCCTGTTAATCGTGACTATTGACAGTACAGTACAGCGTCCCATACATTAGTGCTTAATTATGACTGTAACATCCACGAGAGAAAGGCAGTGAAATGAGAAGAGTGAATGGGGGATTGTTGTGATTTTTTAGACAATTAGCTGTGCGCATCGACTTCCCTGTGTTGTGTTGTGTGGTGTCAGGCTCCAGCCTGGCCGTTCTGTTCTCTCCCCGGGACGGCCTAAACAATAGGCACTATGTACAGAAGCACAAGGGGCAGGAGTGTGTCCGTGTAGTGTTTGTCGAGGCTCTGGAGCATTTACGTCTATGCTGATTGACTTATTTCTCTGATGCGGAGTGTTGTAACTGGAATGAGTGGAACAGTGTGTTTTCATCAAGACAGTGGGACACAATGCTCTTAATTTAATCACTTTGTTTGGAAATGACAACTAGACAGGTCTATATGTCTTTTAGTTAGCCCTTAGTGGCACCTAAGTTGTGTTTGTTTCTGTTATGTAGATTTTCTTTTTTTCAAGATTTTTGGTGATGTGCAGTGGTTAGTGTTTTGGCATAGAGACGTCTTGTATATCTTTGTGTCCCACACACTCTTAAAAATCAAGGTTCCTGTTAGAACCAAGAAAGTTTGTAAAGCCAGATTCCATTCAACAATTTTTGAAATTCCACAAAGAACTTTTAATTTTCCAGTTCTTTAAAAAAACGTCTATGCACTGGTGCTTTAAAGAACTTATAAGCCAATATGTTAATTAGAATAGCTTAAAATATGACCTCAAGAACATCCAATGAACTCTCAACTCTCTTAAAGGTGGTTCTTCA